GTGTCCTAAGCTTCTTTTGGGGAAGGATATGAAATTGACTGAGGGAGGACAGTAATTGGGAACATTAAAACAGGGCTGTGGATCCACCTTTCTTCCTTGGAGAGTAGTTTAAAAACAACTTCTTCAATTGTCTCCCTGCAAACTGTGTTAAGCCCCTGTATGTGACACTTCCTGGGGTGTTTGGTGATTGAACACCTGAGCCGTTGTTGCCTTTCTGTTCTCCATCAACTGAAGTCCAATAAAACGTTAAACTCTTAAATGTTGAGACTTTGGTTTCTTTTTGGCTGGAGGCAGGGGGTGCTCCTACCCCTCTGCAAGGAAGCATCAGAACAAAGGCTGCTGTGGGGAGCGAGGGGTGAATTCTGCTGCAGTGATGCCTCCTCTTGCCCTGACATTCTGACCTGCTGCTGATTGTCAGAGCCTGCAACATGCTGCGAACCTTTTAAAAATAAAACTTTAATCAGAACTCAATCTTCCAACCCAATCGACCCACTGTACTTGGGTGAAGTACTGCTGCCTTTGGCGTTTGTGTTCTCCCTTTTGCAACCTGAGGCTTCTGGAGCAGACCAGGTCTGGCTGATATGTTTGTCTTCATGCTGACACCACTTTCTGCAGCATTTTGTAAGAAAGAGTGGACTTCTAAAGACTGCAAATACTATGTTACTTGCTCTCCACCAGCAGAGCTTCCACTGCTATCACTGACAATCATATGAAGTTGAAGAAGGGGAAGTGCCAGTTTCTGCACCTGGGATGGGACAACCCTGCCTGTGTGTACAGACTAGGGAATCAGATGCTGGAAAGCTGTGCCAGGAAAGCGACTTAGGGGTCCTGGTTCACATTAAGGTGATTATGAGTCAGTACTGCCCTAGCAGCCAGGAGGGCCAACTGTGTCCTGAAGGGCATCAGGCAAAGCATCGGCAGCCAGGCGAGGGAGGGGATTGTCCTGCTCTGCTCTGATCTGGGGTAGCCTCACTTTGAATATTGTGGCAGTTTTGGACACCACAATCTGAGAACAATATTAAGCCATTAGAGAGTGTCCAAAGGAGGGCAATGAAGGTGGTGAAGGGCCTTGAGGGGAAGCCATATGAGGAGTGGTTGAGGGTACTTGGTCTGTTCAGCTGGAGGAAACTGCGGGGAGACTTCACTGCAGTTACAACTTCCTGGGGAGGGGGAGAGGAGGGGCAGGCACTGATCTTTTCTCTGTGGTGACCAGTGACGGGACCCAAGGGAATGGCCTGCAGTTGTGTCAGGGGAGGTTTAGGTTGGATATTAGAAAAGGTTCTTCCCTCAGAGGGTGATTGGGTGCTGGAACAGACTTTGCCAGGGCAGTGGTCACAGCATCAAGGCTGAAAGAGTTGAAGATGATACTCCAGGCATGTGGTGTGACTCTTAGGGATGATCCTGTGCAGGGCTAGGGATTGGACTCGATGACCCTTGTGGGTCCCTTCCAACTTGGCATATTCTATGATTCTGTGATTCTGTGAGTCAATTACGCTGTAAACTCCCAGGGGCAATTGGTTTGTCTTGTTTCTTCAGAGATAATGAACCTACAAGGCCATTAACAGTTTTTGCTTCTCAGCAACCTGTTTCAGCTCTAAATCACAGAATGGTTTTGGGTTGGAAGGAGCCTTAAAGCTCATCTTGTTCCAACCCTCTGGCATGGGCAGGGACATCTCCCACTAGCCCAGGTTGCTCCAAGCCCTGTCCAACCTGGCATTGGACACTTCCAGGAATGGGGCACCCACAGCTTTTCTGTGCAAACTGTGCCAGTGCCTCACCACACTCACAGTCAAGAATTTCTTCGTAATATCTAAGCCAAATATGAAGCAAACTTTGATAAAGAGTACATTGCCTCTCATGGCTTCCAGAGTACAAACCTTGACAGGGCCATTGATACCAAAACCAGCATAAAATTAACTGCTCAGAGACAGCTTTGAGTCTTTAAGCAGCAAAGGTATTTATTTTGAGCAATGTTGGGGAGTCTAGCCAGCTCACGCTGGACAAACTAGCTCCAAAGTTCTCAGTGACAAGTCAGGCAATTTATACATTTTTGGTGAGGGATTATAATATTTTACATTAATATTCATTACAATTACATCATCTAGTTATAATATTTATATCTAGCAGGGTTCAGGTGGAGCTTCAGACGAACTCATCCTTTTGGGTAAGTTCTTGAGGGTCATTCCAGCTTCTTCAGCCTCATGGAGGGTCGTTTTCTTGCCCCTCATCATCATGAACTTTTCAACTCTTCCTGACTATGTGCGAAAGTCTTACTAAAAACCCCTTTACTCAGCTCTCCAACCCCCCTGAATGTCCATCTTATCTAATTTATGACTACTAGGCTAACCTTTTTTTTATATTTCATTAGGATAGAGCATACCAAGGACAAACAGGCCTCTCGGAGCCTGATACCTTCTCTCCCTTAATTAATCTCATAACACATGTTTTCTGTCTCTGTCATTACAACCTAAATGCAGCAATTCCTCAAAGTGGAATCTGTGAGCGTCTTCTCAGAGCAGGATTTTAGCCTCTAAAAATCCTTGCTCTGTTTCAGCATGATGTTCCATTGTTTAAGAGAAGAACTTCAGAGGCACGAGTTCTGCTTTCTGAGTTGTTCACTATAATGTACCTTAATTCAATGCCGCAGTTTGGTCTTCTCTACCTTCAATCCAATATCATTTTGCCTTTACGAAATACACAGTACTCAAACCTTAGCTGCTCCCTGCCTCACACATCACACAAGCCCCAGTCTTGTGTGTCTGCAAGAAATCCCATTTTTATTAGGTGTATGTTGCAGAGTATAAATTTATAGGAAAAGCAAATTTAAAGATTCCTGCAGAAATTCTGTGGCAAAGCTAGGCAGAAGTTTATTCTGAATATCAGAAGTAAGCCAAGACTGGAATATACTGCTTTCACCTCTTGCAAGGAACAAAGCAGGATCTCTGAGCTCTGCCTCCTTTTTCCAGCTTCCCAATACCCTGGCCTTAAATCATAATTTGGGGACTGACTCAGAGGAAACTGTGTAACCTACTGAGTCACCATTCCTGAAACATCCAGAGGCAGCAACACTCTCATTGACAGCTGGCTGCCACCACCAAAGGCTTTGGGCAGCAATATCATGCTACTTCCAGCCACACAGAGATTGTGCCTGGCTGGTTTTTGCCCTGGCCAGCTTGGCAGTAGAGCCTGGAAATGTGGAAATGCAGAGGACTGGGAAAAGAGAGGATGCCAGAGAAATGTCTGCATCACAGTTCAGGCAAGAGCAGAGTCTCAGCTTCCCAACCAAGAGGAAATGGTTTAAAAAGTTCTACCTCTTCTTGGACTGCAGCTTTTTTTTATTCACATTTGAGAATTTACAGCAGGAAGCAGGGAAGCAGATGTCACATGAGTTGTGGCAGTTGCCAGCAGTATCCAATTGTGAGTTACCGGGAAGATAGGAAATCTGATGGGAGAGAGGAAGGGGGTTTGGAGAGCCCTTCGGTAATTATGCTGGGATATTGCATATGGTATCACATGTGCAACAGCATAAACCCTGTTGTTAAAGTGTAATTACAGATTAAATTTGACTCCCAGATCTCAGTGACTATTTCATAAACATCTGCTGTTAAAACAAAGTTGAGGCCAGCCTGCCACGCTCCACACAGGCTACTGGAGGGGTATCCTCTATGGTGACAGGTCTTGCAGCAAAGAGAAATGTGATTAAACCACTATAACTTTGTCGCATATTGTGCCAAACATATTTTTTCCTATTGATTCCAGCTAAAAGCTTGCACAGCCACCCATTGTACCCCCTAATTATCTCCATGCTAAAGGTGTTTGTCATTGCAGTGCCGAGTGACACATCATCTCTCTCTACAGCAATTCCAGCCTTTAAGCAACAGCACAATCTGAATTGCTTCTAATTCTTGTACATAAAAAATGCTTATCTTTGGTAAGGCACAACTTTCCTTTTCATTTAAAAAATGCTTTAAAGTTATAATTTTTCTCCATAACACTAAAATCGCTGTAATAAAAAACTAAACCTCTATAATAATAATAATTTTTAAAAAGCAGGAGAAAATTCTCTGTGAAGATCATCTCTGTAACAGATACAGCATGTCTTCTTTCCTTTTGACAGTGCTTTATAATTTCAAAATAGCATCTGAGGACACTCTGTGCCTCAGCTCTGTGAAGGATTATTGTGCTTGAACGCAAAGAGCAAACCCCCACCAAAACTCTCTGTGTTGCTCAAATGTCAAAAAACGGCATCACATCTGACTTCAGCAGGAGGCATTTCCAAGGTGTTACCACCTCAGGTGGACACATCTTCTTCTCTGTAGGTGCTGAGCAGAAGAATTTCCATCCATTTTTGGAGGACTGT